AAATTTTTGTTGAACTATGAATTTATTTTTTTTTAAATTGATCAGCTTTGAGAAACCATCCGTTACAAAAAAATGCACTAATGTGTTGGTAACAAAATTAATAAAAATCAATCACAATAACCGAAAACATGTTAAATTTTTACCAAAGCTCCTGGTTGGACTTAAAACCTCAAAATTTTCAAACTGAGTGAGTTTTTTTTTTAAATTTTTATGTTACTTATGATTAATAACATATCCACGTTAAGGTTTGACGTTGAGTTCTGGGACACCCTGTATATATTATGATTTCAATTCTCTTGCTTAGCAGCATCTAATTCGTTTCCAGGATTGCACTCTAAATTTGAACAACTTTCTGCTGTTCATAATTGTTCATTCAATTAACCAGTCTTTTCCCAACGCTTCAATTACATTTCTTTTAATTAAAATCAATTACTGAAATTGATCATAAATTATGAAGACGAGAAAATCTTTTGCTGAATTTCATTTGTCATAATCTCATTCCTTTGAAAATATAATTACTTCTAGAAGGGTTATGAAATATGATGACATTTTAATTCTTCTAACTTTATTTTCATTCTAAAATATTTAAGGGGTGTTTACCGTAAATCACAATGTTAATTATGTTTTCCGGCTCCTTGTTTTATGTAAGTTATAATTTATGTGCAATATTATAAAGAGTTAAGGAGGAAATATAAGTCATAATAATATGGTACTGGCAGCAGTGGCGGCGCTAGACCATTCGTGGGCGTCGGCGAAATTCGTTTGCGAGGCCCCCCTTTTTTGCCAGTTGCAAGTTGACTAGTGGTACATGGCATCGTGCCTAAAGGCAAATTGCTGAAACTTTTCGTGCCGTAATTTAAATTTTTGAAAAGCTTTTAAAAAATTTGAAAAGTGAAAAAATTGACTTTTTTAAATTTGAAATATTTTGTTGAAAATTTCGAACTTTTTTTCAAAGCAATCACGTTGCTCTAGCTGCTTAGAGACGAAATATCGAAGCGCGTAAACGGCGCGTTGCAGTCTAACTTAACTCACTATTAATTAAAATCTTTATAAAATATCTGATAATTTGATGTGCATATGCCAAATGGCTTTTGTTGTGCTTTTTTACTGGATTTCCAAAACCGCTAGACCTGCCTTCCTAAAAATGTAATCAGTTTGGCATTTTTTGTCCCGTATATTCGAAACGGCTTATCCTGCCTTTGCCAAAAACTAATCAGCACGTCTTCTTACCTTCAATACATGACAAATGTTTTCTGAATTTTTCAAATTGGTTGATCCATGTTCGCGAAATCGTCGACAAAAAATTGCCAAAATGTTCAGAAATCTTTGAAGATATATAAAAATTTTTGTTTTAGATTTTTTTGCAATTACTATAACTGTATATAAGATTTATTTTTAATCAGATAAATACACCAATTGAAATAGACAAAAATTACACAAGTTAAAATAAACAAACTCTTCGGCAAAAATGGTTTGTTCTCCAGCTATTAAAAAAGCATTAAAATTAAATAATTATCGCTAAAAAGTTTCCCTTTGCCCAACCATTTGATTAGTAAATTTTATGTTTTTTCGATCATTATGAATAAAAAATGGTTGGAAATCACCGACTTAATAACTAATTAGACAAAATTTTGCAATCTGCAAGTGATTAATTAGATTTAAAAAATCTATGTTCATACTAATTTGAGTGCACAAATCCGCACATCACATAGTAGGTATAAAACATGGTCTAAAAGCTCGTCCCATTATTCTAAAATTTAATGAGTTTTTATAATTAACCATTTATCGTAGTTCCATAAAATATATGTTAGATGATACTAACAAGTTTTTGAAAAAAGATTTTTACAATAAATTACGAAGAAACTGTGTGGTCGATCTTGACGAAAAACAATTCAGGACGATCGCCAACTGAAAACTTTCGATCAGTTTTTGAATTTTTAAAATTGGTTCAAAAATGTCAAAATGTCGTTTTTTTAAGATGCTTTAATTTTTTGTCGACGACATCAGAGCCGATCAACCGATTTAAAGGATTTAAAAAACATTCGATTTGTGTTGATAAATTGTCAAAGGCAGGTTTAGCGGTTTTGGAGATACAAAAAATGTTTAAAAAATTATCAATTTTATTTGAAAGAACTGATCATCCCAATAGAATGCTTAAAAAAATATATTGCTTGTGTTGACGGTGTGAAACAATGATTAGTTTCAAATTAACAATTTTTGCTATTATCTCATTGTTATTTCTCACTGATAAATTTTTATTGAACATTGATTACTTTTATTCCTCGAATATTTAATTACTGTTTCGATGATTTACATAGTGCTCACATAAGAAATACACAAATATAAACAACCAGAGCTTGCGCAAAGTTGTTTAGATTTAATAATCTATAGTGTTGACAGACGATTTTAGATAATGCCCATAAAAGATAAAAGAGTAAAATGATAGTGCCTGTAAACCACTAATCACCTTTTTTACTCGCACATCCGTATGAAAATTAACTAAAATTTAAATAATTAAAATTTTTCCGGGGCCTCTTGCGAGGCCCCCCCAGGCGCGAGGCCGTCGGCGGCCGCCGACACCGCCGACGCCTCGCGCCGCTACTGACTGGCAGTATTAATTTTAAAAAGAAAATACTAGAAGTATAAACAAGTCAAATAATAACTTATACATAACGTGCAACTAATTGAATATCTTTTGCTTTAATCATAACGTTTTTAAAATTTTTACTATCATTTTATATGAAGAAAGGAGCGTAATATAGCGTTGCCATAGAGAGACAGAAGATTTAGCACTTGAATTTGTAGAATTAAATTCAGTGTTGGAAAGAATTTATTAAATATTTTGGATCCTCATTACTCCACCTCTGAATTTCATCCAACTTTAACTTTGTTCTGTATTTGCTAAATGTTTTCGTACAATTAATGTTTTACCATTGTCGGTCTGTCACTTCGATAAGCATCAACTCATACATCAACTTGATTATAATTTATGATCATTTACTTTTCGGTGAATATAATTTCTTATATTTATTTCATGGTACTTTAGCATTCAGTCTAATTGATTTTTAGATCATTTGTAAAATTAATGCGCTAATTTATTATATTAAATATTTTGTTGTAATTAGACGAGACTGAATTTAATTAATGCTGATGGAGTAATATTTCTTGCTCGTTGATACAGTGAACCAAAGATTTCTTTTCTGATTCAGATATTCGGTTTCTTTTACTTTGAAAATATATTCATATCTAGGAATGCATTTGCATAATTAAAAAAAAGTCAGTAGATATCACAAAGTTTTTCTACTGGCCAAAGATGAAACATATTTTGGATTTATTGGTGAATTAAATTATATCTGATATCATTTTTTGAACGATTTTATTTTTTATTCAAACTATTTCTGATTGTTAACTTATCCACTCATCCATTTATTATTTCAATTATTTTCTCGAACATGAAACTTTTCAATTTTTATTTTCACGATTAAACAACTCATGAAATTCGAGCAATAAATCATAAACATTAAAGAAACGAAATAAAATTTTTCTGAACGCTTTGGAGTTTTTATAGTCCTTTAAACTGTTACCATTTGTTCGATTTTATAAATGATTGAATTTTTAAAGAATTTCGTCTGTTATAACTTTAATTGTCTGTAAAATTAGGTTTTGCAAGAAAAGTTCTTATTATTTTCTGTGTGAATCATACTAGAATGTAGTTCTATATCTATTATATAAAAATAATTCGGGTTTTCCTTCCTGACGATATAACTCCAGAACGCACGAGCCGATTTCGACGATTTTGCATTCGTTGGAAAGGCCTCGGACTCCGTGAGGTTTAAGCAAAGAAAATTGAAGAAAGATTTCAACAGAAAAGCGGAAAACACCTTTTCATTTTTCACATAAAGCGTCATCTCTGATACTTAGCATGTACTACAAACTAATGTTTTTTGTTTGACTGCTGCTCATTTGTTTGATAGCTAGTCATTGTTCCCTGCTCAGTTAATTTCATATGACAAACCGGCATTGTGTTCACTGTGAAATTGTGCCAAAAAAGTAAAAAAATAAGTTATTCCTTTCCTAACATTTCAATTGGAAACCATCAAATCAATCACGTGTATTGTGCAATTTTTTTCTTCATCTTTTAATCACCGAACGGAAATGTTACATAAAATGAAACCATCTGGTGGTGAAACGGATTTCGCCCGGCTTGCTAGTTACTTATAAAATTATAGCAATAAATCGTAAACATTAAAGAACGAAATAAAATATTTCTGAACGCTTTTGGAGCATAGTTTTTATAGTCTTTTAATTTGTTACCATTTGTTCGATTTTATAAATTATTGAATTTTTTAAGAATTTCATCTGTTATAACTTTAACCGTCTGTAAAATTATATTTTGCAAGAAGTACTTATTATTAAATTTTATTTCCTATGTCGATCATACTAGAATATAGTGAATTATAAATAATATTTAACTCTGGTAATATGAAGTAAATATTATCTCTGATTATAAATTATATTATTGCTGTATACTGAACTATGAAAAAATTTATTCATAAAAATTCATAGGGGAAAAAATTCATACTTCTAGTAATCCATTATCTTCTATAAACTTTTGCCAATAAATTATTTCAATAAATTCATTATTTCATATTTCAAGGCAAAAAATATTTAGTAGCTTCAATGCTAGTAACTGGCTTTGAAGCTACTAAATATTTTTTTAAAAAACAGTTTAAGTTTTCTTTTTTATGATTACAGTAAATACCGCAATTAATAAATTGATATTCACAAGTATATCAAATATATTGAAAATTTAGCATAAATAGTATTCATAAATTATTTAGTATATTCAAATTTGCTTTCATTTGTGTTACAGTTTACAATGCTCTGATGTTTTATATCATTATACCCAATACTATTATAATACTTACTTTATTTATACTCTATTATATGCAACATTTAATGTACGATTTCATTACATATTTTTCTATTTTTGTCCACAGCCTGAAAAACTTAACGTGCACAAAAATGACTCAGAAAGCTGGGACTACACCATCAACACAGGTAAAACATTACATTTCATTTACAATTTACATTTTAAACATATTCAATCGATATGCATTGAATTAAGTTGTCAAGGGTTGAAACAATGGCCTAATTCGAAGAATCGATGGGAAATTAAATTTTACACATATATATGCAGATTAACAAAACTTTGTATTATATATTGATACTAGACTAGTATAATAAATAATCAATTGTTGGGTTAGGTCATTGTTTTGCCTACGACTTTAGGCATATGTTTTACTTGGATCATCCATGACAAATAACTCGAAAGATTTATCTCCGCTATTTTAGAACAAACATGTTCTAGTAATAAATAAAAAGTGATGCTGTAATGCAATCGAATTTGATTTTGATATATAATTTTAAAAGCAGCGCATAAAATACACGCTTTTATACATAAAACATAAAAGAATCCATGAAATACATTTTGAGATCTAATATTTCATTTGCTCTGCCGGGAAACACATTCGAATCTTTATCGAAATGCCGAAAACGTAATGTTTTGCTTCCGAGGCTTTTGGAAAGCGGCCAACATTTTGCATATTTGATTTGTGAATGAAGCGTTTCTGATGTGCTTAGTCACAAAAGAGTTTGATTAATGATGCGAATTCGTTTTGGGGAAGTGGTCGTATTTTTAGATTTTGAACAAGCTGAGTGTTTGGAATTTTTTACCAATTTCTCTATAATAGGTTGACTTTGGAAAATTTGAAATTTTACTAAAGGCTAATTTTACCGGGTCTTCAAACCTAATAATGATGCTCATTCAAACGTCAAAGGGTTTTTTTCTTCGTGCGTATGTATGTGCGGATACATTTTTTGTCGACAATTTCGAGGACACGGATAGACCTCGAAATAGATCATTCAAAAAACATTCGATTCCTACTGACGGTAAGACGTCCTAGTTAACGAAGCACTGATAAGATTTTTGGAAAGTCAGATCCATCGGTTTCGGAGATCCAATAAAAGAAGTAATAAAAAATTCCATTAGGCGGTCAAAAATAATAAATAGACTTATGCCCATCAAATTATCAGCTATTTTATAGCGATTTTAATAATAAATACATTTTGTAACTTCCTTTAGAATAAGTTATAGTAATCGTAAAAAAATCGAAAATGAAAATTTTTATATATCTTTAAGGAGTTTCTAGAAATTTTGGCATACTTTAGAAAAAATGGATATGTGTGTGTGTGTACGTGCGTGTGTGTGTGCGGATACAAATTTTCGTCAACGATTTCGAGAACACGGATTAACCGATTTGAATAATTTAAAAAACATTCGATTTCTACTGATAAGAAGACGTGCTGATTAGTTTTTGTCAAAGGCAGGTCTATCCGTTTTGGAGATACGGGGCAAAAGGTGCCAAAAATGGTATTTCAGTTTTTGAGGTAACGGAGCGTCCGATTTAACTAATTCAAAAAATATTTTATTTGTATTGACGAAATGAACAACTGGTGAAAATTTTGTAAAGGCAGGTTCAGCGTTTTCGGAGATCCAATAAAAAAAGTGAAAAATAACGCCATTTGGCGGTCAAAACTGAATCTTACACATATGTAAATCGTATTATCAGATATTTTATGAAGATTATAATAATAAGTACAAATTTTATATATGGGTTCCGTACCAATGGTTACATGATAGACGACTACGCGGCGGTTATGCGCTTTGATATTTCGGCTTCAAATCAGCTATGCAGCGCGATTACTTGAAAAATGTTAAAAATTTTCAAACAAAAATCAACATATAAAAAAGAACGAAATATAAGAAAGAACAAATTTTTCAAAAAAGCCATATTTTTACAAAAAAATTCAAAATTTTTCATAAACCTAATTTTTTTCAAAGTTTTGCAGTTTTTTTTTAATAATTTAGTTTTCGGGACGGGAAGTTCCAGCAATTTGTCTTAAGGCACGACGTCATGCACTATTTCAATTTTTTTTAATTCTTCAAAAAAGTTTAATTTGTTTAAAAATTTAAAAATTCTCAAAAATCTATTTTTTGCTAAGTTTTCAAAAATGTCTAAGCTTTTTTAATTTTTTTTATACGGGAAGTTCCAGCAATTTGCCTCAAGACACGATGCCTTGCACCACTACTTCTACATATTTTTCTGAATTGTATTATATTATAATTATCAATTCTAATTTTGCATAATTCATTCTATTCTATTATCCCTTATTTTCATAAAAGCTCTCCTACGCTACGATTTTGTTTACAAGCAAAGTATTTCTACTATGCAAATTCTTGTTAAGTTCCAACTGTTATTGTTTGCTCGTTTACACTACATCAAGTTATTATGATGTCGTTGTCTCTATGAAGATTTATGTATAATGTATTTTCGAAATTTCCGCATAAATTAAACTCTGTCATTGTAGTGACAGTTTAAATTACTCGTTTGGTACTTAAATTCAAGTTGCTGGTAAAGCACACTATGCACGGAAAATGACATGGAATGTTGTTTTATTTGAAATTGTTTATATAACCCCATTAGAATTAGAATAATTGTTCATAGAATAACCCCTTGAAAAAATAAAATTGTTAATATTCTTTAACGAATATGGGTCAACGGTAGCGTTGCCATGACAACGCTATGTTACAGTCTATTTTAACGGAAAATTGGCGCCTTATTCCCATTTTTTTTTTCAATGTTTTCTTTTCACGTATATGTATCGATTTTTTAAATGATTCCAATAATCATTGGGCAATTTTTAAATTGGTCACCTGATAAGGCCCACATCTTTAATATGTGCTAGTGTTGCTACATATCTAATCTGACACTGATAAGTTGCTTGTAATAGGCATAATTAGTATCGACTATTTTTTTATATAAAAAATGAATGAAAAAGGTGTGAAAGTGATTTGTAGGCAAGTTGAACATGTTCTGTATGTTTTTTTGGAAGCGTTATCTTGTCGACAATGGACCAAAAGCAAATCATTGCGTATTGTATTACAGCATCACATCTCCGTAAATCGTGTTACTCTTGACAGTTTGATTTATACATTTATATCATTGTTGCGTACGCTTCGTGAAAATGGGAAATGTATCTATTATATGTGGATATATATATATATATATATATATATATATATATATATACCTGACATTCCATATTCATCAAATATTCTATTACATGTATACTATGTACCCCGAATGCGTCGATGTTTTCATTCGATGCATTCTGATGTGTGCATATCGTGCACCGACAGTTGTGACAGATTAGTAGATTTCGCGTATATTGCCATATAAATTAACTTTATATGAATATATGACTGCAAATTTCGCTAGTAGCATGCAACAAATTCGCGCTGATTGCATAGAAAATTACGGCCTGATTGTGTATCGACAATGCACACGGCCTTTCTCGGCTACGGGAATGCTTTTAGAACGTCATAAAACCTCCTGCAGCGATCGATTTTATTGCTGGTTCGAACTGGGCTCCTATACTATTAGCTTGAGAGCCAGCATGAGTTAAAGATTTATTTAAGAGATTGAGACATTGGGTCATTTTCGCCTTAAATCCAAAATGAAACCATAATTGATCACAGTTTTTAAAATTTAAAGGCAAAATAAGAATTCTGTGACTTCTTCTCTACATCATTCACTGCTAGTCGAAATTTATCTCATTTTTTTATCATTTATTAGTTTAGTAATGATTTATTATTATTATTAATTTTCCACATGAACAATCTTTTTTATTATTTTTCTATGTTCTATGTTTTAAATAATATTGTTTTCTAAATTTTTTCAAGTCAGTTAATTGCGTTGTAAATGATTGTAGTAAGCGAGATTTAATAATAAATTTAGTTAAATAAAATACTCATATTAACGTTAAGGGGGAGGAGGGGTAAAGCCTGCGTTAAAGACTTGAAAAAATCGATTTTTTTTGCAAAAATATCTTCCAAAACTAGTAAAGAATATATTGATGAAACTTTAGAAACAAATTCAAATTATTTTCGAATTAGGCGGAACGAAAGCTTCGAAGCGCAATTTCTCGGTTTTTCATTTTTACGATTCTTTCTAATTGGTGGGAAAGATAGGAAAAAAACTGAACGCCCTATCGAAAAGAGACAAAATTCACTGTATTTAAGATTAAATTCTATTCTAATTGAACCTAAAAAACTTAAAAAAGCGTTATAATGAACCCACTTTTTAAACGATCTGAAGAAAAATTTTGTATCAAAAAACATGATTTTTTGTTCAAATTGCGAAATATTGGTGAATTTTTTTTTTTTGAATTTTTTAGATTCAACTAGAATCTTTAATATTGAAAATATATATTTGTTTGGTTTTTTTTTTGTTTCGGATGTAAATTGTGACCGGCATCTTTCCCGCCAACTGACACCGGCACGCTCGTGGCGTATTGGCAAAATGCTTGTAACCGGCATATTATGACATATATTTTAATGACAAAAATTGAGAAGAATGTTCAAATATATAACAATAAAACCTGAAAGTTTCGTCTCAATTAAGTATTTATTTCTCTCCCTAAAAATTTATCAAAAAAGCCATTTTTTGAAGCCTCTATAGCAGGCTCTCCTCTTAACGACTTAACGCTCTAAAATCATTTCAAAATATTCAAATTTGTTGAAGCCTTTAAAGCAGGTTCTCCCTTTAACGACTTAACGCTCTAAAATCATTTCAAAATTTTCAAAATTAGCTAATACGACTTTTACGTATACCGATGGTTCAGTTACAATTTTCAAATAAATAACTAAGTACTATCAAGTCATTACAGATAGAAATATACCTATCTGTACGTATATCTACGAGGTCTGTTCAAAAAGTACCCGGAATTACTAATAATTAAATTTCGCGGGTCTGGAGTGTCTGATTGTCAAAATTTTTTTTTATTGTGTTGGTATACATGCCCCTAAAGTATGATGAAATTTTCAGCTATATTCACTGTTTACTTTGTCTGTGGTAGTCGCTAAGGTTCGACGTGTTTTTCTGAGCTCGGCGATTTTTACAATGGAAGAATTGAAAAGTCAAAGAATTTGTATTAAA